AAGAATGTAATCAACTGTTAAAAAGTGAAAGAGTGTGGAGAAGCGATCAGCACTTGTATGTGTGTGCGAGTCTGGACTGTAGAGAGAGAGAGAGAGAGAGAGAGAGAGAGAGAGACCAAAGAAAATATAAAAACTGAATTTTTGGGAAAGAATTTTCAGGTGCCCTCCGGCCCTCTCGCACACACACTCTGAGTCTCAGACATCTGTGTATTACTATTATTATGATTACAGCGAAACCGTATTTCTTATTAATAGCGCATATATTGTCCCGAAATCACGAAACTATTATCGCATTTAGCTTTCATTTCAATTCCGCTCTCTTTTTATATATTATTTTTCTTTCTCTACTATTTTTTTCTTCATTCGGATATCACTTATGGAAACATCACTTAAGTAGTGCTCTAAAGAGAAAAAACACTACAAAACCTCACTTTAAGTTATTTGAGCTCTTTGTCTCATTTTCTATACAATTAGGTCTGAGAAACACAACTTTCTCTACAATTTTCTCCAATCAATTCTAGTCATCAATGAAAAGGGCTTTTGTTTGCAGATAAACGACTACTTCTTCGTATTGTTTTAAACACTGAAAATAAATATTAAATACTTTGACTCTAACAACATTGATGTTTAAACAGTGAATCCATGGCTTGTCTTAACAATTTGTGTGACAATAAAGCCATTCAATAGGGAAATCACGAGTGAATGAGTGGCGCAAAAAAGTTGGCAAAGAATTGTAAAGAAATCCCGAAAAATACACTTTCCATACATTTAGTGTACAGTTATTTCTTGCTATATGTATGCCTCATAAGAGCACAGACCTCTGTGTTCACACTGTACTCTATGGGTGTCTACAAAGGCATCGGTACTCCGTGTGGTTTCCGATAAATGATGTGTTCATGTGTTCAGTCCTTTTTGATTGACATTCTTTGCGCTCCCATTATATTCACAATACAGACACAAATATAACTGAATATACGGAATAATAGCTAAATCTAGAAGTCCAGGGCCTAACACACACAACTGCCAGTGCTCTGCACTCTATGGCAAAGTATTCATAAAATAAATACTAGTTTTTATTGCAACTCTTTTATAAGTTATTTCAATACTCTATTATTATTGCAATTTTCTGTATTATAGTTATATTTTCTCATTCATTCATACATTGAGTCAGACGGCGAGGAGGACTGGCATTCAAAATACATATAACAATGTATTAGTGATGTAAATGACATCAACAGTCGCTGTAATGATAGCTACATTTTTGCAGATATTATCAAAAATAAGAGTCAAAAATAACTTTATTTCACTCAACTTCTAGTGTCTATTCCGAGAATAAAAATCATTTCAAACAAATATATATAACAAATATATAAACACTACTGTATATATCTGTGTAACTGTTTTGAAGATTTTTATTATTTATTTTCTATTATAATAAATATTCTGACAAAATATTCAAATAAATTATATGTATTTTTATATAAAGCAAAAGTCAATCCATGCGTTGAGAATATATTCGCATATATTGTACAGTGAAATAAGAAACAAAAATTTATTGCCAGACAATAGTATAGTGACTATAGTATAGTATGGGGTAAAGAATAAGTACAATATTTCTTTGAACTGTTATTTGCAAAACCCATAACTGATAAGTACTGCTATTATGGGACTACACCACTCGGATACTACTCTACAAAACCATTGCATTACTTTATTTTCATTACTCTATGGATCATAAGTTGAATTTTAGCAAAAATATATGACTATATTTGGAAAATCTTTTACATTATTCCCAATTGATTTGGGAATGAATTTATTGTTATTTAAAAAATACTATTTTTCAAACAAGAGTTAATTTAGATTATTTTCAGCTTTACATGTTAAGTATAAATATATTTATAGCTACTGCTTGTTATCTTAATTGGAGTTTAATTTAGATTCAAATATAATTAATGGCAAACCATTAGGATTTAATGAATTAATTTTATTCATAAGTTTTACGCAAAAAACAAAAAATTAAATGAGAAAACTTCAGATAATTTATTTAATTTATATTTTTCTTACTTTCTTAAAAAATTATGACTTATTTCATGAAATATCTTATGCTATAAGTTAAACATTTATATATATAATATTTGATACGACTTTAGATACCAAATAATTGCCCCACTCTTGAGCATTAATTTTCAATTAAAAACTAATAAACATTTATTTGATATTTTAATAAACATTTAAATTCTTATCGCAAAAACTATTTTAATTATCTCTGAAACAGAGGACACCATAATAGACATCAAGAAAAGTAATTTATGTGACGAAACGGGTGGTCCAAAGCCGTTGGGAATGGAGTCGGGGGTCATCCCTGATGTGGACATCACGGCCTCCTCGTCCTATAACCAGCAGAGTGTCGGACCTCAAAACGCGCGGTTAGTTTTGCATCAATTACTAAGTTTTGTTAATATTATATATAATAAATATTTTTAAGCTATTATTTATTCGGTGTGAATAAACTTATATTCAAATATTGTTGTCCTAAATATGTGCAAATCTATTCATTTGTTGCAAATATTCATATAAACAAATATTTTGCATGTTTATAATCAAATGGACACCCATTGCACCTGAGGCTCAGAAATGAAATCAAATGAAATGTATGCAAACATTTTTGTCGCATCACATAGTTAACACATAGGACGGCCTAATTCATACATAAAAGCCCAGAATTTTAGACATATTTTCAATAAATAATAATATTATACCTCAAAGCCATATAACATGGCACTCGTATTCCCAAGCATCACCACCACTACAGTACTACTGGTGCTGATATCGGTGGCCCTCATTGGCCATATCGACAACATAACTACAAAAACACGCTTTTTGTTGGGCATAAGAGGGCCGACAGACACAGTGAGAGTGAAAAACTATTAGACAAATAGTGATATTCTGGCAGATGTTATGAGATGTGCGAAAAGTGAGAGTAAATTAAAAACACAAAAAAGTTTGCATCGCCTAAAACGCTGAGCCGACACTGGCTTTAATGAAAAGGGGCTTACATGCCATACCCCCCGTTCCCCCTCTAAATCACCTCACACTTTCCATTCGCACCCTCCCTAATGGTGTGTGCACTCCATTTCCACTTATTAGTTGCTATACTATTAACTTATGTATTCTAATGGGTCTCTATTATTGAAAATAATTTCTAGCTTTAGTTTGTCGCTATAAATATCGCTATTTTGTGAATAGAAAGTAGTATTAGTGTAGTTTTTTAACATGCACAGTAACTATTCATTAATTTTATTAAATAAAACATTTTCTGTGAACTGCTATTCAAATGCCGTTTTTAAGTGTTTCTTATTATACAGAATAAGCGAATATTTTGCGGAATAAAAAAATTATGCCTATTTTTCGCACAGTATGTAAATTATAGCATATCATAGCCCTCTCCCATGTCTTGTAAACTAATATACAGCACAACCTCATAGCCTGTGCCCTATCTATGGCCTCGACATCTATTCATAACTTATACATAAGTCTAGAAAACATGTATTTTTGGACCGAAATTTAAATTTAATAGACATGTGTTAATGTTTGTAATATTATATGTTTTTCCAAATGAGTGAATCGTTTTCGGATTTGACATTAATTTTTGGTGAATATATTTTTAGGAAACTTTTTAAAATTTTATTTTTTAAAGATAATATTTAATGCGATTTTCATATACAGTATAAATTGCATTAATTTGTCGAATAAATTAATTTTTGCAAATAAATATTTTTTTGAGGATTAGTTTCAGCTAATTTTAAAATAAACATATTTCGCAGCAATTTTTATCTTATTATTCATTTCAAACTTTTTTCGATGATTTGTGAGCAAAATATTTTGAAATATAACATATCGTAGACGTAACATAAGGTGAATATATATCAAAAAACGTTTTAAAGTTTGACTTCACTCGCGATAAAAACGACAAAATGTTTAAAAATCCGTATTTTTGGACAAAATCCAGGAAATCTCTTAACCCGATGTCAATTTGCTATACCATTACAAGGGGACGGGGAGGTTGTGTCTAATTGCTAAACTTATTTTACTACAGATTTATGGTTTATCTTTGGACACCATCTCTGTTGACAATATGATAGGACTCGTAGTCTTTACAAATTGTGAACATTTCATACTATAGTATAGTTTTATAATTCAATGGCAGTTATGATCCGCTGATAAGTCATGTCTTTCTCTACAAGAGTTTAATTTTGTGGAAAGAATTTCTCATTAATTAATTACTTTATACCAGAAAACGTCAAAATTCTTGTTAGAATTTCCGCAAATTTAATCAAAAATTTAATTTTTGGCACAAATTCTTAAATAATAAGCGAAAACATGAGAGAAATCGATTAAATCTCATTGAAAATAATTTTTGCATTAATTATGCGTTTGGAAAGACAAAAGTTTTAAAAAATAATTTTTGAGTTTCATGTCTACTACAGAATGTCGTATTATTTAAGCTCTGAAAATGACATGAAATTCAGTGAAAAATATTTAATTTGCACAAGAATTTTTAAATAATTAATTTTACTCGTATCTAGAGTCAAAAGGTATTTTTAAAATGAGATTCAATCATTAGTATATGAAAAGTAATTTTGTGTTAAAATACTTTATTTCATTTCATTTATTACTAATGCATTACCAATTTTAATAATAATTACTAAAATAATTAAATTATTTTTAATTCCCAAAACAGACTAAACCGGGAGATATCTGGAGGCGCGTGGTGTCCATCAAAACAACTCAATTCTGTCCACTCGGGCAGTGAATGGATTCAAGTGGACCTCAAAGACAAGTTTGTGATCACAGGTGTGGCCACTCAGGGAAGGTTTGGTAATGGAGTTGGTGTGGAATATGCCGAAGAATACTGGTTGGAGTACTCGAGAGATAACGGCACCAATTGGAACAAATGGACGGGCAGTGATGGCAACCATGTATGTACTCATCACTTATTTCTTATATTAGATTTCCAATACTTTGAACAGTTTTGTTGATTACATGGAAATGGGATTCAGAGTAAAATGTTATGATTGCCAGTTAGTGTCGGAATACACCCTTAAATCTTGTTATAGTTTTGGATAAAATTGAAAAATACTATTATTTGAATGACTAAACAAAGTGTACGGTTAGGGGACAGACCATTGCCAACGACTACTACTATAGCAATGAATAATCTATTCATTTTAACTGTATTTTCACTGTAATTATGGACTCAAATGAGAACTAAGCAGACAATCAAATGATTGCCAACTTTGCCATCAATTGAGGAGCAAATCATTGATTACTACATTAACTACAATAGCCTTTTCTCAGAGGAAATTATCCTAAAATCCAAACCTAATGTATGCCCCAAACACAATCTTGGTCACCCCTACGATGAATAAAATGCGTGCAAAAATCTTAAGCTATATTCAAATATATGATGAATTGAATGGAAAATATAAAAAACATTTGTATAGTTTAGCGAAAAATATATAAATCCAAAAGAAATGGCGAATAAAGAAAATATTGATAATCAAAATATTATTACATTAAAACAGATGGGCACTGGTAGTATATTTCCCACAGAACATACATGTCATACAATAAAATCTGAGCAAAAAAACAATCAAAAATATATAACAAAAGGTGAATCAGAGATCTATTTGATTCGTAAGTTTGTGTGTGAAATAAAATATTATTTTTTATATATTTTTATATACATTTGTATAGTTTAGCGAAAAATATATAAATCCAAAAGAAATGGCGAATAAAGAAAATATTGATAATCAAAATATTATTACATTAAAACAGATGGGCACTGGTAGTATATTTCCCACAGAACATACTGCACTCTTTTTAACATGTCATACAATAAAATCTGAGCAAAAAAACAATCAAAAATATATAACAAAAGGTGAATCAGAGATCTATTTGATTCGTAAGTTTGTGTGTGAAATAAAATATTATTTTTTATATATTTTTATATTTATTGTGTAATACAGATATTTAATGAGAAATCGATTTTTCACTACACTTTTTAATTGAGTGAAAAAAGTTGTCAAAAGTTTTTTGTTAGGAAATAAGTTTTTTTTCGTCTAAAAGTTTCTAAAAGAAGTGAAAAATAATAGAAAAAAGAGAAATGTTTGCAAACAATATGTGAAGGGTTTTGTTAGTTTCAAATCTCTCTCTCTCTCTCTCTCTCTCTCTCTCTCTCTCTCTCAACCGTAGCCACTGAACTGAACTTATTTTGAAAAAAGAAAAGTAATATAAATCATTAAAATCAATGATTCCGTTCACTTGTATTGCGACAAATCCTAACGGAATATAGATTTTTGGCGAAAAAACTCCTGTTATTTGTGTAGTGTTTGTGTTGTTAGCGTTTAATCGGCCAAAAGTGAATCGCCCAACAATTTCCAGATCTAATTCACAATAGATTTCAATACAATAGCAAACAATACATTCAATTTATAAATAGATTTCCCAAACGTCCGATACATACTGTTCCCTTTACATTCATTTGCAAATCGTTGGCAATTAAAATTTTAAATGCTTCCCCTGTTTATTATTGCAGTGGACTGTTGTTATTGTTAGGGTCAGTAGTCTATTAGTAGTGGACTGGATTCATTCACAACTAGTAGCCCATAGTTTAGTGAATCACAACTATTGTTATCGCATGCGGTGTTGAATTGATTGGCACCCAAAGGGTTATACATAAACACATGTCAACTCTCATATCAATTAGAAAGGAGTTCACTATTTAGCACAACAATTGCCACCAATTATTACTACACTTTCCAGTCGTGGCACAAATGAATGCCACAAATTTAATCCCATTTCAATCCATCCTTAATGTTATGATCGATTGTGCGGACGTCTGCACCCATACAACTAATCCATAATCAGGTGCTCCTTGTATTGATTGCATTGCCATTGTATGTGAGAGCACCGGGATGTGCTTACTCCTCGGTATAGTCATCCTATTCTAAGAGCTCTGAAAGTATTATTTTTTGAAAACAAAAATTATTTTTCACGACAAAGCAATTTGTTGGGAGGCATAGCATCTGTGAATAGGGGGATATGGAGGGGACTGACAGTTTGTGTCTCATTTATGTCTATATATTCGCTACACATTTGATGTGATGTATGGATTGTGTCTTCAATTACACAAAAGCACACGTTATATACACTATACTTATATATATAGACTCTCAACACAATTATAACATTCAATGTTTAATCCGTTGGGAAATTTCACTAAACATTGTTTTTGCAACACTTATACACACCGTATATATCGCTGGGAAAGACATCACTAAACGCGGCGACACTTTAGCCATTAGTAGATTAATAATCATTTGAATATACGGTAATTCATGGGGAATGGGAGAGCTTTTTATGACTTATGTCCAACAAAACTACTAACAGTTGTCTCCATCAAAGAGATTACTTTTATATTAAAACAACATTTCAATAATCTCTCTGAGCTTACGATTCAAATGGGAATTAAATGAACTGAAAAGCACTCAAAACTATACTCTATTTGTGACAGAAATTGCCGGGAAATGCGGACACGTATACAGTGGTGAAAAATGAGCTGTCTCACCCATTAGTTGGCATTAATCTCATCCGGATCGTGCCATTTGCCGGCCATCAGAGGACCACATGCTTGCGATTCGAGCTTTTCGGCTGCAGACAAAACAGTCTTCCGGTGCGATACTCAATGCCCGATGGCTTCAAAAGTGGCAAATTTGGTGACTTATTGGACATGACTTACGATGGAAGTCAAGACAACAACGGATACCTATACGGAGGTATCGGTCAACTCGTTGATGGCATCAAAGGTGATGACAACTATAAGATCAACAAAGGCTTTGAATGGATCGGATGGAGAAGCGATGGTGAGGTGAACGATGGCGTCCAAATCATCTTCGAGTTCAATGGGTTAGAGAACTTCACGTCCGCCACATTTCACTGCCATAACCTCTATAAGCAAGACATGGAAGTGTTCTCTTCAGCTAAGATATGGTTCAGTTTTGACGGCAAGATATGGTCCAAAAAACCGGTAGAGTTCTCGTATATGGCCGACAACGCCATCGATAGGGCCCGGGATGTGGTCATTCATCTGCACCATCGCATCGGAAAGTTCGCCAAATTTGATCTCAAGTTTGCGAAGAAATGGATACTCATTAGCGAAGTGTCGTTTGAGTTGTCCACCATTGAAGACAATTACACGCAATCCTACACCCATTTAGAGGCTGTCCACTCGTTGACACCCATCACCACAGCCGCCATCAACAGCGACAGGTCTTCGTTGACTGAATTCATAGTTTTGATATCATTTGCGTTGGTCTTCACCATCATATTCAGCGCTAGTATTGTATTACTTCGGCTCCATATGAGACGCAAAGAAAAGTCCGGACACATCGTCGTCTGTATGAAGGTATGAGACCTACCGTTCCCTACCATTTGCCATACGCTCGCGAGAAACTCAATGCACTTTATATAACCATAACTTTCTTATCCATTGACATGTTAACTGTTTTGCATCCATTAACAAATTGATAGCGTTTTAGCAAAAAACAAAAAATATCTATTGCTTTCTAAACGTTACATAAAAAACAACTAAAAAAACTCAAAATGCGAAACCAATTCTGACACTAATTTCTCTCAAATCTTAGGCCAACTGTTATTCTTAGCTCAACCCTCACAATATGAGCTGATTATGAAATTTATAAACTGATGAGCCGTTAATGTCGACGGGAACTGTACTTTAAGTCTGCTTTCCAAATGAATGCCAATTTATCATTTGATTATTTAGTATCCAAACTGACTGCCAGTTTGTTTGCCATTTAGTGCTATAACAGAGAAATTTATTTAAAGTTTTTTTCTTTACGTAAATATAAGTTATGTCTTAAAAGAAAATCATAAAATCTTGACTTCAAATGAGAGAAACGATTTTTATTATTATAAACAGCTTTTTAAATGTGTTTACGCTATAAATATCATATTTGCTGTCAGTTTATGTTATATAAACTTTTTTTTGTGAGATATAATAAACTTTTTATGTATAACTAAACGATGAATTTATTTGCCAAGAGTTACTACATACAAAGCAAACCATTATTAAAACTCATTTTTTGTTATTAATTTTAATTAATTTTTAAAATTTAATAAAATTAATTTTTGTTGTTTTAATTTGCGAGTGTTTTCTTAATTAAAATTAATTATTAAAATACAGAGTTTTGTTTTATGTTAACCCCAATCCCTTTTCCGATGATTTATTACTATTTTTTACAATTTTTGGTATCATTTATAAGTTTGTGACAAATGTTTGAATTTTGCAAATGACTGAAAAATATATGAAAAAAGTTTGAAAAAAGTTTCCAAACTTTCCACTCCTCAAGGATTTGGCGACGACTCCACTGTATTGTGAGCCCAAAGACATCAACTCATCGCGATCTTCATCAGCCAATGATCCCGATTATGCCGTTCCCGATGTGGCCGTCACTGTGCCGGTGGTCAGCAATAACAACAACACCAACACTACTAACACTATAATACAAACGCCGACATTCAGTCCCAAACCGTTGCCACAAATCACTCAACTGTTGAGCCAAAGGTATTACGCGTCCACTGATGTCATCAAATCACCGAAACTCCAGTCAAATAGTCTTATAATGAAGAGAAAGTTCAATAACGGAGGAGACAATGATATGAAGTCCTTTAAGTACACAAATGGTGTGAACGACGCGATCGTTGACTTGAAATGCATTCCTCAGATCAGCGAAGAGGAGATCCAATTGATTCGCTCACCATTTGGTTCATCAAAATTTGGCGAAATATCGATCGGAAAATACAAATATAAGATGAGATCGCAGGCCAGCGATGGAGAGGTAGTCGACGAGACACTTGTCGTGTTGAAGGCGTTGAGGACCGAGAAGTTGAGGAATGAGTTTTACCACGAAATGAAGTCTAAATGGTTTATATCCGCCAAAAGCGAGCGAATCGCTAAACTCTTCGGTTATGTCACGACATCTG